GGGCCTTGAAACCAAAACGGCAAACGTAGGGGACTTTAACCCTAAAAAAAATAAGCCTGAATATATCAATTAAAACCAGCGGCAAAATGGCATTTAAAAACAGTCATTAAAAAGCCAAGATATTAAAAGAAACATTNACCACCTACGGGCGGACTTTAACCCCAATACACGTAGGGGACTTTAACCTTAAAAATAAATAAGCCTGAATATATCAATTAAAACCAGCGGCAAAATGGGCCATTTTGCCGCTGGTTTTAATTGATATATTCAGGCTTATTTATTTTTAAGGTTAAAGTCCCCTACGTGTATTGGGGTTAAAGTCCGCCCGTAGGTGGTTAAAGTCCCCTACATGTGCCGTTTCGGTTTCAAGACCCTGGTTCGCGGGGGACACCAAAGAAATCCTAGAAAAGGCAACTTAAACTTAACTAATGTGCATTTATAAAAAAGATGAATAGTTTTGGCGAAAACTAAAAAAGTACCATGGGGTACAGGAATCCGTTTTGGTTTGAAGACCCTGGTTCACGGAGGATACCAAAAAAAGTCCTAAAAAGACAAGGTAAACTTAACTATGTGCATTTAAAAATAAAAAAGAGGAATAGTTTCGGCAAAAACTAAAAGGTACCAGGGGGGTTCGTTGCATGAAACACTTGAAATAACTAAAGGATACGTTAAACAAGAAAGTAGAAAGAAAGGGAGGTCATAGAAAACTATTTCTTCTAAAAGGTTAGCAATGATTGAGAGTCAGACCTAAACATTTCAGATGTGTGTATCTCACACTGCACTTTAACTGTAATAATGTATCTTTGCTTTTAAATGAGTGTTTTTAAATGTCATTTCATAATATGTTTCTTAATGTCTTTCATTTTTGTAAAGCAATTTGAATTGCCTTGTGTTGAAATGTGCTATATAAATAAATGTGCCTTGCCTACATGGAATCAATTTATTTTGTATTTACCTATAATTCAAATTGCAATGCAGGGGGTGCAGGGGATGGGTGGGGTGTGGGTAGGGTTAGTGTATAAATACATGTCACATCATGGAGCTGAGGGGTAAATATCTGAATCATTTCTCTTTTCATTGCTCTACTGTTTACTGTCCTGAGTCAGGTAATGAAGAACCGCTGAACTCGTGACATTAACTCCAGTGTGCAGGAAAGTGACTCAGTCCTTCTGCAGAGAGAGATTTCATGGTTTATATTTCTCGAAGGTATTGTGGCATCTGATACCTTGTCTACTTTGATATAAATCCCTTCGCTTCAAAGCAACAAGTTTGACGTACATGTTCCAACTGTCAGGAGAAAAGAAAACTTCCCCTGTGAGAAGCCAAACAGAGCTGCGGAGAAGACTCTACCCCGACAGCTGACACTGTTCCCGTCTTACTATCTACTGGCTCCCTCTACAGTTTGAGTGAAGAAAAGTTTCAGAATGATATTTCTGATGCTACTAAACAATTGTGAAGGACTGGACAGGTTGAATAATTGAGAGCATTTACCACTATCTGAGAAAGAATTTCCCTAAAGTCCTCGGGGAGATACTGGCTGTTCAAACTTTTAAAAAAACGCAAATGATGCAATTTAGGAGTTTAACTACATTTCTAATTTCTTTTGGTGGCAAAACGATTTGGAAAACAAAGCTATTCTTATTATAAAAATAAAAACTCACTTTCTTACATAAGTTATAGGTAAAAATGCAACAAAGAAACAAAAGTAAAAAATAAAATAATAGGAGAACAAATTTGTTCTAACTATATGGGGCTTGAAATTGTTATTTTTTTCAGCATTTCAATTATGAAGATAGAAAAAAAATACGATGGACTTTTTCAAAAATATCTGGCATTTTATAAATCCAACGATTGACCAATTAGTTGAGAAAATGATCAGCAGTTGAATCCAAAATAGAAGTAATTCAGCGAGTTTCAGCCTAATTTCTTTTTTTTCTGTTGCCACGTAGCCAATATCAAAATGGAGCATGAACAATTTGAAAGTCTAAACACTCACTACGAACATAGGGTTATGCAATTTTGCTGAAAGTTGAAATCTTTAAACGTATGGTCACTTTTGAGACTTCAAACTCCCAAAAATAAATCTGAAAGCACTTTATCATGTTTTTTATCTGAATTTGACTAATGGGCAACTAATAGCATTATGAATGCAGTTTCTGAGATTGTAGACTTGTATATCTTTTGTTATTAACACGTTATGTTTTGAATCTATAAATACTAATATACTCCATTGTGTACTAGTTGTGTACAGATGAAGAATGTTTGATTTTATTGAAATGTATTTGAGCCTTATTTAACCCTTTTGTTATATTCACAATTGATTGTAATATTATTCCTTTTTTCAATAATTTTTCCATTTTTGTTTGACTCAAAAGCAACTGTGTGCTGTTGCAAATGTTTATCATAAGAATGTAAAATTGAAATACATTTTTAAAACATGTTTCTCGACCATGATCACCTTGGAGGTGCGTCGCTCCGATCGTCCCAGGGAGGTGCGTCCTCTCGGCTCCCTTCTCCCCAGCGTGTCCATGCCTGACGGAGGTCCATTGGCCGGTAAACCCCCGGCGCCGCCTGCCCCCCTCCCCCTGCCCTCTCTCCCCGCGCCTCTCTTGTCCTCAGTGTTTGCGTCCCACTGCGCCCCGCCCCGTTGATGCTTCCCCGGGAGCTGCGGCTGAAGTCCGTCGACCTGAAGTGTCGGTACGGCCGCGCCTTGAAGGTGGGGGTGGGGGAGGCGGAGCCGGCGGTGTAGCGGCTCAGCTTGATGTCCGTCTGCGTGGCCTTGATGTCGTCGATCATGGTGCTGAACTGGTGGATGAGGCGCACCAGGGCCATGTCCACCCGCTGGCTGATGGCCTGGCAGGCAGTGGTGAAGTCGCAGTGGAAGGTGTTGTAGTGGCGGCGGTTCAGGTCGTGGAAGGACAGCGGGGCCGCGGTGGGGCCCTGAGGAGCGCTCGTCGACTTCTCCATCACCACCGCGTTCAGGCTGAACGTCTCGATGAGCAGCGCCGGCTTGAACTCCAGCGGGGGGAGGTTCACCATTCCTTGTCTGAGGACAGAGGAAGGGAGAGGGTTGTGTGTGTGTGTGTGTGTGTGTGTGTGTGTGTGTGTGTGTGTGTGTGTGTGTGTGTGTGTGTGTGTGAGATTAGCTGACATACTGCGTGTCGGGGCTGCGCATTCATTGACATTTTATTGATATCGCAATAAGGGCGAATAGAGTGAAGATGTATTTTCGTAGGCAGACCTGGAAGTAAACATCTCAAGGGTTCCGACAAAATCCAATGATATCCACTGGATTTTGCAGTGCTGGAAAAGGTTCTAACTCTGGCCAAAATATACTTGCACATTTTGTTCAGCGGATTGTATGGTAGATGTTTTATCTCAAGTAAAAAGCTAATGTTAGGCTGAACTAGCTACTATATGATCTTATGACTTCAAGTCACCACCGCTAAACTAAAGGCAGCTAATGTTCACCGTGATGATGCTAATCAGTCTCATTTTGCAACATAGCAACCGCCTTTTAAAGACACATAGAAGTGTCAGTGAGCTATTAACTGACGGAACAAAACGTGAACATCTTTTAAGATTAAAAATCATGCAGCCCTTCATTCTATATTATGGTGAAATCAACAAGTTAGGAAAAACATGTTAACTAATTTCCTGATAATGGGTTATTGTTATCAATAAATAAATACATATATAACAATATGATGACACTGAAGTCTTATTGTTGATTTATTGTCAGGATTTATTTTACCCACTGAATATTGTGTTTTTTTCCAAATCAGTTTAGCTACTGCCTAGGGTTGATCGTACCTCCTGGATCTTTTGTTCTTCCGCTCTTTGGAGGTGTCTGAGTCCACGATGTCTGCCCGGAGACACTCCAGGTTTCCAGAAAAAGACAGATGCTCTCCAAAGTACATCTTGTAGCTGAGAGGAGTGGCGTCCTGGGCCTGGATGCCTGTGTAGCTCAGCAAAGGCTTGAAAACCACCTGAGGGGGGAAACGGAGATCAAGACACACATAAGATACATGTTTTCTCAGATTGTCCAGATTATACCACCCAGGAAGATAAACATGAATCAATGCAAGACAACGGATATGTGAAGAGTACACTCAAATATGCTAAGAGCAAATTCACTGTTTTTACCAACAATTATTAGTTTTTCCACCTAGCATAGGTTACATTATTAACATAACATCATTAGCATTGGTGGAATGTAAATTAAGCACATTTACCCAAGTATTGTATTTTAAGTCCAATTTTGAGGAACTGGAATGGTTTTACTATATTTTGTTCTAAAACAGAGTAAATGTTTCCCCCGGGATTATTTACTAATGTGATGTTTGTTTTTTTGTACCTTCCTCATTTAAATTCTAATGTTTTTATAAATATTTGCATTCCATTGTTGATGTTCACAGCACCTGAGCGTCGGCCAGCTGGACAGCGGCCGGGCACTGGTTCCCCTCCTCGATGTCAGCCATGTCGTCCTGGCTGGTGCTGTGCTGAGAATGCTGGGACTGCGTCCCGTCCAGGGTGTTCTGGTCGCTGGACAGCACCGTGTTGAAGTCTGAGGCAGAGGGGATTGTGGGTAGGTTGCACGCCCCACCTGCAGGTGTAGAAGAGATGATTAGGATACATGTGGTGTGAGCTGGAGCTGATGCTGTGTGATGTCTGCAGGACGAGTTCACCCCAGAACACATGAGTGGCTCAGGGTTTTAATATAGATCTTTACTGTTAATACAGGGTTGGGCCATATGGATTCAATCATATCATTATATTTTGGATCAAATACCTCAAAATTGTTTATAATTCCTACCTTAGAGTGCAATACACTGAAACTGTACTTATTTCACAATTACAATCTTTATAAACCACTGCATATTTTATAATATACACACATTTTTACATTTCTACTGTTAAATATTGTAGAATGGCCATACTATTCATTTATCTTCTTATGTTTGTGGAATATTCTTATTGTATTTTATTTCACAATTTCATTTAAATGTATGATTATATAAATATTCTATATATATATATATATATATATTCTATTTTCAAATATTTTATTTTTTATTGCACATTTGTATCAAGCTATTTGGGTTAATACGATTTTTTTTTAACTGTATTATAGCTTTCATTGCACATTTTATTTAACTTCATATTTTAATATGAACATTTTACATTTTAATGTAGCTATATTTTATTTTAAAATATATTTGTATTGCCTACGTTTATTACAAATTAAATAACAAATAAATAAATATATAAAAAAGATATATACTCCCTATATTTAATAATATATGTCACAAAAGCCTCATTCTGATTTGATTAATTTTGCAACAAAATTCTAGGGTGGACTGTTGGGTCTTCATGTTATGCAGCCTCTAAAACCTTGACAATGACACATAAGGAAATGATACGGATGCATCAGCCAGCCCGATGGTCACATGAGCAGCAGAGAGTGAGCAGAGTGCCTCAGGGTGAACCACTTTACCTCTCCGCCTCCTTATAAACACAGATGTTAGAGTGAATTAAATGGAAGGCAGGCGTCACATTAAACTGAGCGTAAAGAGGAACTTTATGGCCATTTTATGCACAATTTGGAAGTGTAAACATCTCATTCCTTGAATGTGTCTGTATGCTTTGCTGCCAATGACTGACACCTAGGTGGGGAGATAACGGCAGCACTTATCATCATGGGCTCATATCCAGCCATTTTTCATGAAACATAATTGCACCCACACATTAGCTAAACTGTGCAGGTAAGATGCATCTTCACAGAGATCAAGTGACTCAGAAAATGAGAGGAAGTACAGATGAGCAGAGGCTTCGTAGATTCTAGGTTGCTAAAATCCCCTCACATGCACTGGTTCCTAAATAATGTTTGGAAGGAGCAGTGATGTGCAGTGAGCGAACAGCACAACTGTACCCATCCATCACAGGCTGCAGGCCTGAACTACAGTCAGAGAGTTTAACACGCTACACATCCACTCCTTTGATATCATTACACACATTTTAAAGTACATGTGGGGTACCATGTGTTCATTTTAACGCAATTTTCAATAGTGATATGATTAATATGGAAGTGGATAAGGGCCATAAGTAACAATGTTTTTGGAGATCTGAGATAAAGTCAGAATTCTGTCTTGAATCTCAGAATTCAGACTTTTAAAAAAGAAAAACATTGTGAATATTTCCTCAGATTTCTGAGTGTAATCTCAGAATTCTTACTTCAGATCATTTTTAATCATAATTCTCATTTTGAAGTACAATGTATATGCAAATATTGGGACATTTGAAAATTAAAACAAATGTTGTGCAACACATGATTTGAAGATTGCACTGACTAATCCATATTGCGGTTTTGATATAATTTCAATCATTTGTGCAGCCTTAATGACCACTATATTAACCTATGAGGTTTTAAAGATTTCAAACTGAACAAAGGAAAAAGAGACCTGGTGTTGGACCAAAAACCCAAAGCATGGATTGCTGTAGATGGTACAGCCAAATGAACACAATTGATTATTGATTGAGAAACATTATTGTCTTAAATGGTATCCTTGTCATATTGTACAAAGGCATTACGTGTAGAGAACAGCTATAGACAACAGTGCACACTGTAACTGGGTGTGTCTTATTTTTCAAAAGATACAAAGGTCAGAATAAAAACTGAAATAATTGCATATAGACTATAGCATTCCTTGTTGATAAATATCTAATCAAGCTCCCTTCAGCATAAATGACGGTCACCTTATTTTATTTGCACAACTAAAACTATCAGTTTTATGTTTTGTCTGCAGGAAACACTGACACAGAGTTCTAGGTGACTATTAAACTACCAAAGGGGGACAAGCTAACTGCTAGCTAGCTAGTTGACCAACACCGTCAGCACAACACTGAGCAACACTCCCTGACCTTCTTCTGGACTGAGAACTGACGGCAGAGGCTGGTACTTGTAGTGGTCGACAGGAGAGTCCGGGGGGTCTAAAACAGCAACATGATGTGAGTTCTGATCTGGTGTACATACTGTGCTTAAAGGGAAAGTTGAAATTGTGTGGGGTTGTTCAATACAATACATTTGAATTCATACATTTTTGTCAATGGAGTCTTGTGTATTTGAAGAAAGGATAACAGTTTTTGTTCCCCTTTAGAAAGGACTGCAGGATATTGCTTACTTCTGACCCTTTTTCAAATAGAACCCCCTAAAAGCACACGCTGTCTACCTGTCTGCAGGTTGTTGTGCTGGGAGCGGTTCATCGGGGAGTCCTGGACCGCCCCCCCGGTCCTGTTGCCCACAGCGTTGGACATCCAGTTGTAGAAGCTGACGGAGGAGGGCTCCGACAGCAGCGGGTGCTCCGTCATCATGTCCGTTCCTAAACTGTTTCCTGGGGACACACAGGAAGGAGATGGAGAGGTCATTAGAGAGGAACAGCTGACGGATCATTTTTATCTTGAATCATTGAGGCACATGTGGTAATCAAAAAAGAAATTGGGATAGAAACAAGACAATAACTTAATACAATCAGAGTTATTTTGGTAAAATAAAAAAAAAATACATATGTTGGAATGGACCTGACCGTGGTAATGTTAAAACAAAGACGTAACATACCGCAGTGCACACTCAACTCGAAATGCGGTGCAGCTTTTGTGGGCTTCACGTAACGCCCATATTTGCTCATAAATAGTCAAAGAAACTCTCATTCATTCATTTTGACTGACTGCATGAAGAAGATCGCAGGAAATGACGACAGAACAGCTAAAAAAGACATCTCACACCGTGTCAGATTTTGGTTATTTTGGGGAGGTCGAGATAAATCATATTGTTTGGTGGATGCAATTTGAACCAGAGTAGCAGCATGGAGGTCGGATCGTCACCAACATAAATAAATAAGTGGTCCGAAAAAGTCTAATGACAAAAAAAATACACATAGCCTTCCTCAGGCAGTGTGTTTGTACCGGGGACAGGAGACACCCCCTTGATGAGAAACTGTAAGAAATGATCGGGGAATCCCTCCGGAGTGGAGTCATGACGACTGGATCTGAATTATGTTTTTGTATTTGGTGGTTTGTGTTCCAGGCTGTTGATCAGCAACTATATATCCATAATCCACCAGTTAAAGGAAATACAACTAATGTGTTGTGTTATATTAGCTGTACAATTTACCACATATGGTGTTCTTAGTTTCCATACCTCCTGTCTTTTAAGAGCGACTTATCAAGTCTTGGCAAACGTGATTAAACATGATAGTATATAAAACCATGTTCGTATCGACAACCTATAGAAATGCAACACGGCCTCAGTTTAAAGTAATTCTGTCCTCCTGTTTACCGCATCATTTATGAGAAAACATTTCATAACAAGAGAACATAATCGAGGGGTGATCAATAACATATCCGTATTTATTTATTTCTCCAAGTTATGTTTTTGTGTGCACTGAGGAGTATCAAACAGGCATTTGTTAAATCATTTTAAGATTGGCTTTAATCAATGTTTGAAAATTAATTCTTCATATATGATAAACATTTTATTTATGGTATTTTTTCCACATATTTCTCTCCAATCTTCGTTCTGCCAACGGTGTCGCAGTTTCTCGTCTCTCCCATTTATGTGCTTAGTGCGTGCGCATGGGTCAGAGTTTGCTTAGAGGACCGCACTTTTCCAGTCAAGTTAGTTTTTTATAAATCGCAAACATTGCGTAGAAACTGGCGTACGCCATTTTTTGAGCGTACGCACCGTTTATAAATGAGGCCCCAGAGCTTAGCATGCTCTGATTGGTTAGATGGTCAGCTCTGTTGTGATTGGTCTACCGCTTAGAAATGTCCCGCCTCTTAGTTTATCAGGTACGATGCGTTTGAGTGCTAGCAAGTTGTCTTGTCCGAGCATTTGCATGCACAGAAACCTATATTCCACACTATAGGAAAGGGAAACCACCGAAAGAATAATAGGAACCTTTTAATCCACAATATAAAGCAATCATGGTGGGTTTATGTAGAATTAACTACCCTCCAGCGTTAAAAAGGCTAATCTTCTTCGATATATATTCATGATTTGTGATTCTGATTACCATAAACAGTGATGGTCTTTGACGGCAATCAGGAATCTGTTTTCTTCCATCGCTCTATTTCTGTTGCATTTTGTTGCAAAAGCTTGAATATTTCAGCCGGTGATATGATCGGTGTTTGCTTCATGATTAGAGCGTTAAACAAAGCAAACAAGTCATGGCAGGAGCACTGACTCCGCATATCGGTTCACTGTGAGGATGTGCTTAAGGAGAGGACATGCTGTGAATCTATTTTGGGTTTGTTTTCCCTCCCATCACTGAACGGTAGAGGTCAGCCTTGCAGCAGGAATGGCGGCGCAGCGCTGTGAGGTACCTGTGCGAGTGAGGGAGTTGCTCTTGGCGTTGGCGGTGGCGGCAGACGGCTCGTTCCTCTGGGGCATGCCCTCCAGCAGGTTGTGCAGGCTCCTGAAGCTGCCTGTCAGATTACTCAGGAGGCTCTCCTTGCGCGGGCTATCCTTCGCTGGCAGGCCTACGCGGCTCACGTGGGCGGGTGAGTCAGCTGCCGTGTCACCGCTGGTGTAGCTCAGAGACTGGTATGGATGGGAGCCCTGTGTGTGACATGGTACAGATTATGTTCGCCTGTGGGGTTTTGTATGAGAAAAGATGATCAAAAATACAGAAAAGCAGCCCCTGAGATTGTTTAGAGTTCTAAAGGACTGTGTCCACATAATGTACAACAGAAGAGCTTCAACTCCTTGGATTTTCATTATCTCTTTGTGCTACTTTGTATTTGTTTGACACCCACCCGAAGGTGCTTGTTCTCTCACTTTGTATGAATGAGATTCCTCGCTCAGTCAATGAGCCATATAGCAATATGCGTACGGAGATAAAACACTACACTCAGTGTCTGTCTGGTCAATCTGCTACAAAAAATGGCTCTTTGGTCTGTTATGATCAAAAACAAGCATTTTTTTCCCCCAACTTCTAAAGTGACATCACCAGCGCATTTCGGAAAATATGTTCAACTCGAAGCACCCACATGCACTCTATTTTCATTGGAATGAGTTCAAAGGAAAGACGCTGGTGCTGTGTTTTTGTGTTGCACTGTTGGAGGAGCCTGTGTCCGAAGATTTCCATCGACATAACTAAACTGTAACTATGTACGTATGACTAATAAAAGCCTTGAACCTTGAGCTATGTAGGCACAGGCCCTAAGTCAGTGCTTGTGCTTTTTAAGGGTGCAACTCATTATACCTTTTGTTATTCATGATTCTTCTGATTATTCCATTGATTCTTCCTATACAAATATTACATTTAACAAAGGAGGTACAGGGTTGGTCTCTGCCTAATTTGTGCAAAATTGCTTGAATAATTGTCTATACTGTGTGTTCAAATGAAATGGCATGCAGACTATTCCTTGTCTGTAGCTTCTCAAAGCTGAACCTATTCTGTTTTGCAGACCACTTACATGCACACAAACCAATATCACACACTACAGGAAAGGAACAAAATCATTATAAGGCCTCTTTAATAATTGTGGCATGTCAAGGTTTTATTTGTTAGTTTTGGACTGCACCATTTCATGCCATCCAATATGAATGTACAACAGATAACTTTGGTATGACGATACAAGGGAAGAGTGTGCTGAATCCTGTACAGATTGTAAAGCCAGATGAGGATCGTTTTTAATTCGGCTCCATTAATACATTTTGACTGACTGACTGACCTTTATCCTGAGTGCAGACTCGTTGTGTGCGTGGGACTTAGACAGCTTCCTCATGATCTCCACCCCGCTGACGGGCCCCGTGTTGGCTTCTTTGGGCGGGGGCCGACTGCTTGCTCCCTCCAGCAACATGGTGTGTTCACTCACTGCGGCTTCACAATAAGCACATCAAATAAAACTCCTGGAAAAACCGTACAAACTTGCTACGACAGTAGTGAACATCCATGCTAGTCATTCATTCTAAATCTCCTTTCTGTTATTTAAATGTGTGCTAACACTGAGTGAGAAGCAGAGGTTAGAATAGCCATCTGTCAGCACAGATGGCTGGGGGGAAAAAGTGTGTTAGCACTCTGACAGCTGGAAGTCCCCACCTGCATCGAATTCAAATTCAGCTCCGTCGGCGCTGGTGTCGCTCTGCAGCGCGGCGCCGTTGTCCAGGCCCACCATGGTCTCCACCAGGCTCTGGTGAGGCTCCTTGGGCTTGGTGAGCTGGTTGGGCCTCATCAGACCGATGGCTTTAAAGCCCTGAGTGACCACTATAAACTTCATCCACTGTCTGGCCAACGCAACCAGACCCTTCTTTAGAGTCACAAGGGCGGGGACGCCATCATTCTGGAAGTAGAGGAGAAGAAGAGGAGAATTAGTGCTACCGGTAAGGGATTCATTCAAAAAGCAGAGCCAAAAGCACTTAAGACCACTTCATATAATTGGCATTTTTCTTTAAAGTTCCAATGAGGCTATATAAATAAAAAGGTAGCCATTTAACCAGCAATGGTCAAGTTGGAGTGTTTCCTAAAATAAAGGGAATAATAAAGATTTAGACAAAGGTAATACAAATTGGCTTAAATAAGCAAAAACACACTTAACAAATGAAACAAATGGAAATATAGTAGATTTTGGAGTATGAAAATATAATGTTGTTAAATGATCCAATGAAAATCCTAACCCTAAAAAACCTTGGACATTTCTTAATTTCAATATCTTAATTATTATCTGGCCCACTCACGTCTATGGTTTTTCATGCTCAGTTTAGATTTGGACACGCCCACTTCCGCATTACGAAAGCATTGACCCAGCTTAGAATAATATTTTTCAATGTTTACTTTAGTTTTTCAGGGCAAAGGTAATGGAGTCTGGATAGGGCAGATCTCAGGTGTTTAGGAACTTAATTCCAGATCTACGGCGCACAGACACTGAAAGCTGCCTCTGCATGTTTGTTATTACCAACAAAACATCAATGTGTAGACGTGTCCCAGATGATCTGGGCGGCTTGCAACAGATCAGCACATTTAACGTGTATTCTGGCCCAGATACCAAAGCCAAAACAGAGCTGTGAGAACTGGGGTGCTGTGTTCTAAAAGACTCAGAGGCCTGGCCTTACCATGGTCGCTTCCTCGATGACGGAGTAGTCGGCCTGCTGCAGGTAGCGATGGAGGATGTTGCACAGCATACAGGAGGGGTTCTCATGGAGGTAGCGCGCTCTTTTAGTCACGCGGTTGTACTTGCTTCGGATTGGGATGTGGATGCTCTTTTTCTGTTGGGGAGCGACAAAAATAACTTAATAAAACTTGCAGACATACAATCTGCAAATCCAGATGTTGAACCCCTTGACATTTGCTGGTCAGTCTGGGTGTACAGATGCACTGCTGACCTCGAGAGCTTCGGTCATGATGCAGCCCATAACGGCACACACGCGCAGAGTGCCCTCCATGTCCAGTTTGCGCAGAGAGGACTTGAGCTGGTCGATGGGAACCAGCCAGGCTCCGATGGCAGGTGTGGCTGTGCTGAGCAGATTCAACTGCCTGTGAACACAACAGGGAGTCAGATGGTTGATCAATATGTCCTAAAAAGATACCTTGTTCTCCCGTTTCAGATCAACCACTGAATGTAATGTATCATCATGATGTCAATAACTTTAGTCATGAAATATGTTTCCAGGTAATGTCAATTGCAGACATGAGACATGTGTTGCAATGAAACCAGGCTAAGCCCCTCCCTAAAACGCCCACTGTCCAATCATTGTTAGTAAATAGGCGGAGGAAGCATTTTGAACCTGAAAGTCGGACAGCAGATGTCCTAAAGTTTTTGTTTTTTTGAGAAGGGTCTGCCTGCAGGCCTGCACTCTCAGGACAGTTCCGGTGTAGGCTGCACTCTCAGGACACCTGCACTGTCAGTGCAGGAAGTGACGATTCTGACGAACACGTTTTTTCCCCGCCCCCCGAAAGACTCGTTTGATGGAAGTTTTCAAATCACAATGGAGACTCATCACGGAGGTGATGAGTCCGCCCACCGTGCACTTTGGGTCGGCCTTGGTCAAGCCCTTTTGACCCCCCCAGCCTGGTTCCCGTAAAAGTTGACTTAGCCATTTTTCGCTGAAACCATGGAGGAATGTAACGGGAGTTGACTCTGCCCGCCTCACGAGTGCCTATTTTCGGAAACTTTTTTCACTTTTCCGCCGTTTATTATTTTTTTAGCTATTCATCTGGTGAACGGCCGACCCATTTTCGGGAGGGTCTCCACGCCGGCCCGGCCTAGTGCCGGCGCTCTGGCGGTCGGTTCCTCCGAACTGCGGGTTCGACTCTGATGGCCGGGAGGGTGTGCTGCGTTGGGGTGGGGGACTTCCCCCAACCTGCGTGTCTCTTCCTTCCCGGGCCGGCCGATATGAAGCATGACCAAGACGCACCGTCTGACTCAGGGGTCCCACGGGTCCCCCAGCGGGGTGGAGGTTCCCAGCTGGAACCTCCCCACCTCCGCGGTGCACCCGGCAAACACGGTTGTTTCTCGAACCCTCCACTGTTGTCTAGGGGGTGTAACTAAAATACAAGATGTCGTATTTATATATATAAATAAATATATATCTATATAGGCTATATACATGTATATATAGATAA